GTTCTGTTTATTGTGAAAAAGTGAAAAGTGTCTCCAATCAAACCTTCTGGTTTGTGCTGATATGAAATAGGTGGCAGTGAAAGAAGGAAAAGGCGTATAATAATTCTTTTACAAGAAACCAAAGATAAGCTCAACAATATAATGAACTGACGGCAAGGTTTCCCAAAAAGGAGGAAATGTATAGGCAAGCTGCAACACCTGTTAACTCACGATATAAATGATGCCTATATTAGTGACATTCTTCAAGGGCAATGAAATACAAAAAAGATTTGCCATGCTTTATGGCCTTGAAAGGTGAATTGCAAATTTTAAAACAAATTTGGAAATCAAATCCCAAAAATAGGACTATTTCCAATACAATGAATGCTGAAGTAGTCTTGAGCATGTATATAAGAAAGCACAAAAGAAAATTACCTCTGAAGGAGCTCTAAAAAATGTAAGTAACAAAAATATTATGTTTATATCATTTTGAAAAGAGAAATGAAAATTTCTATGTTTTTCACCANACTTCATAGCTTTTATCTACTCCGCGAATAAAAATCAACACCTGAGCAGTATCTGACACATTCGTTGACTCATCCAATGCTAGAGAAAACCACTCATGATGTCCATTTTTGTCAGACTCATGATGTCCATTTTTAAAATGAATTTACCTTTTCGGGGCATATTTCTTCGGCTACTGCAATCAAGCATTCTTTTATCATTTCTCCATCGGTTGAATGGTTTGCGACGTTTTCCGATTTCAAGAGCCACACGAGAGCTATCCCGAGTTGCAGACTCTTGTTCAGTATTCGCTTTGGTAAACAAAGATTACTGCGATTTGAGACCGCGTTTCAAAGCTTCAAATTTTTATTTCCGCAAACTTCCTGTAAACTTGGAGTAACTCTGAAGATGTTTCGATTCATAGTGTCGTTTAATGTTATAGTCTTTGAGAACAGCTATGATTTCAGCACAAATTAAACATAGCGCCTTATTACTGGACTCAATCACAAAATACTGAAAGTTCCATTTTTCTTGGAACGTTCTGCATTCACTATCGATTTTTCGCTTCTTTTCCAAACTAAAAAATCACACATAAAAACAATAAGTCAAATCAAATTACTTTTATTGACGGGTGTTACTTTATTTCACAATAGACACTTTCGCTTCCTACGCAGACTAACTCGCAGTTGCGCCGCTAGCCTTTTTATATGTAATTATTACTGCCATCTCGAAGTGATCGGAATACACTAGCTGGAACCAGAACTTTCTCGAACCAATGCGGTAATTCCAAATATTTAATTACGCCTAATGCCACCTAGCGGGTAGCTGAAAAAGATAGTAATTAGTACAACTACTCGCCATTAGATGTCGTTAAGTGTCACAATACACAATGATAATTGAAATGCAAAAAAAAAGTTTGCTTAGGTCACGCACTTTGCGACTATCCTAGTCTAGAAATATAGTTAAGGGCAGAAATTGGCCCTTGGAACAAACTGAGAAAATCATTAGGGCCCGAAGGCTTCAAAGTTTGGGGAACCCTGATCTAGAGGGAAATTAACTCCTTATTCAGATCATGACTGTCAATAATCGCTTTTGAGATCTCCGCAAAATTTTAAATTATCGAATTTTGGTTGTTCGGTCTACCGCCCCCTTTGAAAAGTGGTGTAGAAGAAGCTTCTGTATTATCGTTTGCTTTTTACGATCTGGTATCACCCAACTTTTAATGCGACGTTTCGTTTATTATATTTTATTATCAACTCCTTTTTCAAATACGGAAATCTAAATTTCACATCAATTTCAATAGCCACCATCATAACAAATTCAATTATGTATCACAACATATGTATTTGTCGACGTTACTATTCTAAAAAACAGCATCAAAGTTGGGTCGTAGAGTTCCCGTCAGTGATGTTTCAAAAATGCAGAAAGCAGAGAAAAATTATCTGAATATAGACATACCCACCCTTCAACTTCAATTATATGTCGAAAATTTGAAGGTGGTAATGTTCAAAAACTAATTGTCACCATAAATTTGGCAATGTATTAAAACACTTGTATTTTTTCGAGTTTCAATTTCAAATATTTGATTGCAATTCAATAACTGAAAAATTTATTTCAATAAGAGTCCAAATTTGCATTCAGGTCAATCTTCATCGTCTAATTCAAGTCCTTTTGCCACCATATGAAAGAAAAAGTTACATAGTCATATTTTGAAATACTTTCTATCATGACCAATACCAGTAATATTGCTATCCACTGCAACTTTCACTGACTTCTAATTAATTGTCACAAAATATCCATAAGAATTCATTTTTCCCAAAATTATTGGAGAGCTGTTCGTCCACAGAAGAGACAATTATAATTATCACGAAAGCTCCAGCTCAAGTGTAATCTGTCATCATTTGTGAATTACAAGTTTCTCTCCAGATGGAATTCATTACTTTATTGAAATTATTCTCCAAAAATCCACGACTTAATAAGCAATTTTCTGTGATAATTATTGATTGTTCCATTTATAAATAGAAACTTTTTTCTCATTTGAACTCATTAGTTTGGTGATCGATAATATGTGAATATATTCACTTTTATATTCAAATATACATTTACGTTCACATAATAATAATATAATGAAGAGGGTTTTTTCACAGTAAACGATGTATAAAGACTTTAAAAAAATCGTTTGAAAATGCATTAGAATAAACGCGGAAAAAACACAGAAGTAGCTGCAAAAGCTACTTGAATATGCGTATATGAAGGTAGTAACAAAATAAGTACAAAATGAGAGTAAAAGTAGCCAATATAAAGTCGAAATAATAATTACGGTGTAATCTGGAGTTTGACATAATCAATAAAAAATGTATAATCTAACACCTAAGTATCTTTGTATCAAAATAACCACGATACTATTAATCACATTCTAATCAGTTATATTCAGGTCACAAACCGGGTAATTTTACATTTTCGGGGTAACGTCGTTTAATACTGGATAACACGACCTATCGACAGAGCTCTTTGTGAATTTATCCTAATCAACTGTTATAGGTGTTTTGACATAATCTCATCGAACATGAATGTTGTGAAAGATGCAGAGGATAACCAAGGTAGGTACCTAATTCTCGGATCATTTTTTCTCTTCACTGCTCACTCTTAGGTACTGTATTCATTTCAAAAGTTTTCATGGACGAGTATTTTAGAAATCAAAAAGATGTAGATTACTGCTGGATACTTGTTGATTTCATTCATATTAATATCCGTTCAACATTGTGTTTTGAGAATATGATGATTTTTTCTCAAGACGTCTCTGATTCTATGTAGGTATTACCTTATTGAATGGAGCACTATTTCTGATTCCTTCCGTCGGAAGACTCCACATGTTGTTGTATCAAGGTGGAGAAGTAGAAAGCCAAAATTTTTTTTTACAATAAAGGAACTTCTAAAAATATGCCTTTTTCAATGTATTTACTTTCTTGTTCCAATTATCCCTTCAATTTGCAGAACTTTTCAATATGGATGAGCTTTGTGTTTGTTGATTGCTCGGATACAATTGGAAATGAGACGCTTTCATGTTGCTCGTTCTCATTATTATGATTATTACTATAATGAAACAAATAACTCATTTGAAATCCATCTGAACTCGTTTTTTACGATTTTTTCAAACTGCCACATGAAATTATGATATATGGTAAACATATTCCGGAGAGATACGAATAATTGCTCAATTTCGGATGGAAACACCTCACCCCTCTCCTTATGTGAACCTACGATTGAGTAGGAGAGATACCCGACGAGAAAACAACAACTAAACCAGGTTCAGTCCGTTTGAAATGATACCCCTGGTACTGACGAGGAGCTATTATTCCGAAACCGGTCTATCGGTGGTCATCCCGATCAAATGAAATTGGATTCACTTGCCACGAATTTCACAAATGAAAGACGTAGCACAGGTGTCTGATAGTTTTATTTCAGCTTTCTGCACAGCATCAGCTGAAATAATTGTTGTTTTTCCGTCGTGTATCTGCCACCTACAAAATCATAGGTTCACAAGAGAGGCAGATATATATAAAAAACTTGAAGTCCGGGTTACGTCTAGAAGTTCTGGAGAAAAAAATATTTCCGATAACTTAGTGAATTGAAAAAAATCACTCAGAAATTATTAACGGATTCAAATGATATGAAATACCATCCTCATAGAGAACTTATATACTATATAATCAAATAAATGGCTTAAGACGGTTTTGACTTGATAACTGAACTCTGCGTGGATGTAATGAACCACAATATTGAAAATAACGATTTTTTTAATGGCGTTTCATTTTTAGACGAAGCACAAATTTATTTGACCAAATATTTCGATTCATATGTAATAACCAGTCAAGGTCAATGGGTAAACTGGTATTTTGAAACTGCCATATCTGGTTTCAATGTCATGGTGTATCGTCGAATTTCGCTGTAACAGTATGTAATATGAGACTGGATATTGAATTATTATGTCAGAGAACAGTGAATCGAAATCAAAAATGATTTTATTGTTTGTAACAATTGATTACGAACGCGTTCTCAATAATGTTGTGAATCTGTTGTATATACATCTGGAATATACAGAGGTAACAAAAAGGTAGGTCATAAGTTGAACCACATATTCTGGGGTCAAAAAAAATTCAATTGGATGAAACAACACAAATGTTCTCTTTTGGTCGAAAAAAACTACATCAGGCAAAAGCTTATATGAGACTGACGGGAGAAACGAATAGTTCAATTAATTCGGAACTTCTCGTTCCCCAAACTGAAGTCTTCAATGTTGTCAAAGAATACCCCATGCATTGGCTCACGCTTGTATTGCTGCAAGAGTGAAGATTTCAAACAGATTTCAAACAGATTTCTCCGGCTTTTATATGGGCCTTTTGCTGGACGCGTTCCAACTCGGTGACAGGGTTGTTATCACTTTATTGGATGTGGATGTACCTTTATTGTACCTTGGTACTCGCATGATAGCACCAAGGAAAAACAATTACAACTTATGTGTGACGGTAAAATCATTTAATGTAAATCACTATTTTGCAATAACTTTGAAATCTAGGTTACGTAAATATAAAGACTACCGCTTTGCAGTCGGTAGCCAAGCGGTTCGGCGTGGGTGCTTTGTTCACTCACTCGAATTGACTGCCGTGTTGGTCGGTAGTTCAAGCCCTAGTCTGAACGATCGATCTTCACTTGCTACCGTTCAACCCGTGTTAGGAATCACACGTTAAAAGGTAAGACCTCGTTAATCCTTATCTCGCACAAGTTTCGACTTCTGAGGGTTGTCGTTCGTAGGGGTGCGACAGCTGGTTAACGAAAAAACAGATTTTAAACAGATTTTTAAACAGATCTCCGTAATGAAAAATTGCAAAATCGTTAGTACTACTTTTGAGTAATCTCGACAAATGCAAGAAGTTTCCAATAGTTTGAAAGTGTTATCTGAAAATGACAAAGCAGATGATGAAGAGGTGGAGATTGAGGGTAAGTGTTTCAATAATCGATATACATTACCGTTAAAAATCATTTTGAATTTCTCTACCACGAATTGAAAACAGTGAACTATCTGAGGAAGTTTCAAACTCGCTTGTGAACTATCGATTACATTACAACAATCATAGATCATATAAACAGAAGTGTGGAAATATTTGAGAAAATTACGACCTCGTAAACACTTGAACATATGTCAAAGGTGGTATGTTCAAAAACTGGTGAATGGATTTTGATGAAATTTGACACATTCAGTATCTTATTCCAGTAATAATGCTGCTCAATGACTGTTGTTGGTTCATGTTCACTCAGAATTGGTTCAAGATTGGGAAGAGAAATGTGTGAGTTAAATCAAATTAAATTGAATTGAAGAGATGAAAATATTCAAGTCTCATATCGCTTGTGCCATAAGAGACAAATAGTGGTAATTTTGTTCATGTGAACAGGTATATCATAGAAAGTTTTCACAAAATTCATATTGTTCCATCCCAGTAGCCAAATTGAGTAAAAATAAAAACAACACTCTATAGTGCGATCAGTACAGTCTGCATCATATGGGATGCTTTATATTTATTTGAAATTCGATTTTGGTATCAATTTCCACTCCGATCGCAATGGTAAATGACCGAATTTTTCCATCCTGAATTAGCTGATTTCATGGAATATATATTTTTGGAAAGGTACGTCATGTCTAGAATTATAACAATATAACTGAGGCAAACGAACACACACAGGTCACACAGAAATCTTCATCACAATATTTCTGAAAATTTGTGTACTGTACCTCATGTAGATATTTAACCAAAGTTCGATAGCACTATTGAGATTTTATAAATAACCATTCATTAAGTTGAACGCTACTTTCACACCAATAGTCCAAAATATCTTGGGCAGCTGAAATTTGAAATAATCATTTTTTTTTTAATTTAAGTTGTTTATTGACCCTTCAACCATTCAGGTTGAAGAGAATAAATTCTGGGTTAGTGGGTCGCGGTCGAATAGAACCTGGAGTACCAAACTACTACTGCGACAGACACCATCAGTGGAATGTGTGTCGACTGAGAGAACCGAGGTAATAACTAGAATCCTTTCTCTGATCGTGACTCCGGCCGTGAAAGCCCATGTTCCTACATTCGGAGTATCCGAGTCCTTCATAACTTCTTTCAATAATTTGTAATTACTATTTCACAAAACTGCAACACGTATTTCACTGAACAATAGTCTTCTCATATTAAGTATGAAATTTTCAGAAAGAAACTATTATATAGTGAAATACGTATATCGAATATGATGAGTTATTTCCTGGTGATATAAACTTGGAAAGCAGAACGCGTGTCGAGAGACAGCAATTTGGTTCTAGTGAGGATAATATAATATATGAATATTTGTAAAAAAAGTTCTTGAAATATTTGTTCGAATAAATTGATTGATGTAGCCGTTATACTACGTGGTAGGAGTTCATCATAAGTTTTCTTGTATTAATTCGAAAATGTCCATAAAGGACGAACCTGCAGTAACGATAGTTACAAATAAAAGTGGTGAAAACATAGAAAGTTCCATTTCTCATTTTTCATTATACTTTTTTAATTTAATATTTTTGTTGACAGTTCCAACTCCTGAGCAATTCTTAAAACACCTTTTGCAAGAAGGTCCAAAATATCCACATGATGAAAGGCCCAAATACAAGGGAGACAAAAACGACTTGCCAAATTTCTACAACGAAATAATGTTCAAAAAGTAAGTAATTAAATTATTTCATGCAAGCAGGAATTGACGAAATGTTTGGACGTAAAGGTATCGAAGACGAAAGAACGCAATCAATTTTTGTAACAAATAGAGAGGAGGGTCTTTTCATACTTTGTATTATAGGCCTGTCAATTCTTTCTCCCTCTCTCTTTCTCTCTCCAATGCTGGTTATTTTTGGAAATCGGAACCGAAGTCTGATTAATTAGCAGTTTTATATTATATTATTATTTTATGGCATATCGCACTCGAAAGTGGAAAATGAACGAAACAGAGTAAGCAAAAATCACAAAGTGAAGTTCAAAAAACCACACGAGGCTAGATGTTCAACAGCCTCAAACTCAGACAGGTTCTCACTGAAGACGACATCTCTGTGTTAGTAACAGCAAACATCTTGAACAAGACACGACCTCCGAAACGCAACATCTCAACTGCGAACTCGAAAAATAGTGACACTGAAAAAATGTTTTCATTCGAGGCCTAGTCAGTTGGTTGTGACTGATGAATAGTTTGTTAATTTTAATTTGCTCAGTTGTTGATTTCAATCCATTGGGAGTCCGAAAAATGAAAAATGTGTCACTAGGAGTAGTGGAAGCAACGCCCTCAAGTTGGTGAAACATCGTCGTTGGAAATAGCTTTCTTGGATGATAGAACTAGATCGTGTTTTGACTACTAGCGTGTAGTCTGTAGTAATCATCTCTTTCACCACGCTCCAGAAAAAGGAATCTTCGGGTTCATGTTTGTTTGTTTAAACGCCAACCCTCAGAAGTCGAAAATTGTGCGAGCTGAGAACTAACGAGGTCTCTCCTATTACCGTGTGATTCCTATCACGAGTTGGACGAGAGCAAGTGAAAATCGAGCGTTCAGCCTGAAGCTTCAACCATCGACTTATACATCGGTCGATTGACTGAGTGAACAAAGCACCCACGTCGAACCGCCCGGCAATATACAATTATGATTGATTCAAATTTTGAAATTTCTTGATATTGTATCAAAACAGAAAAGGTTCGAATTTCTCAATAGTGTCAAAGAATTATCTGATTGGGAGTTCCTTAGGTTTACACACCCCGTGTTCCTACGTTTTTTATTTCATGCGGCAGGCTATTAAAAAAAAGGCAACCTGCCATAATGGAAGATTTGTTTTAATGTGAGGCTTGGGTTTGTTCAGTTTGATATTATTTGTTGTTGAGAATGTATGTCAGAAGTTTCAACAGAAAAATTAATGCTCTCATATCTTTTGACTCAATGCATATGAACGAGAAATCTGAAACAATTGTGTAGAATTTGCTTTGAGGATAACCAGAACACCTCATCTATTGCCTAATCGCGTTTGATAATGTCTGCCGTAGTTGTAGACAAAAACCTGCGCATGAAACCTACACTAACAAACTCGAAATAAAGCTTGAGTTCTCTCTTCCGTCTTTACTATTCCAAAACGTGATTATTAACGCAACAAACTTCCACGAATACCTCACTTATGTTCGCTACAAAATCCATGAGCATTATTGACTTCAACACTATCATCATTTTCATTCAGTGGGTTTCTATGAATGAAAATATACGCGAATCATCTAGAAAAATGATAATTCTTGCAAATAATGAATAATTATAAATTCTTATGCTCTTTGGCGTTATGAAGTTTTTATCCTGGAACTCTGGAACTGTTGAAAAATGATATTCAACTGTATTGTATATTGTACTTGCGATGCACTGTTTGGAACCTTTAGTGTAGTAATGAATATTACTGGAGTTTCATCACACCAAACCGATATCTTTTTTATTTCTTGGTATAGCCAGAGTTTTCAGAAAATTCGAATAAAATCCAACATTTAGATTTTCTTTCGAGACGGATGATCCTATTACATAGTTACTCATGCTTTTCGCTCTATATTCAATTTTGTTGATGGCTGTATATTTAGTTTGATATATCAGTATTTCAATCTCAGATTTACTCATATGATACATTTATCGAAGATACATATAATATGCTGTTCAATAGATACGTTTAAAATATATCAAAATGTTGACGTATTGTTTCTGGTGATCTTCGATAAAATTCGTAATTTTTTTTTATTTCATATAACTTGATTTTATCTCGATGGAAAACTCTCAATTATTTCCTGATTGAAAGATTTTTGACAAAGACTGTATATTTTTCATCAACTTAACACCACCGCCTTGAATGAAGGCAAGGAACCGGCTGCCCCTGCAGGAAAGCTCCCTTACTTGTGCACCTCCACGGAGGGAACCCCAAAAGGTTGAAGAATCCTTGCAACGTTAGTAATATCGCTGCACCTTCCAAAACTTTCGCGAAGGCCTCCGGGAGATATCTCAAGGGTGTGTGTTAGGCGAGTCTTGGCCTACACCTGCCGATATGAAGGAGATGTCTCCCAGTGACCTGTCCAACTTCCTGGAAAAAACAGGATGGACGATGATCTAGGAGTACAACTCCTCGTGAGGATGTGCAATGAGTCACATGTAGCCGAAGTGCTGTGAGTCTACACTCACCCTTCCTACTCTACAGATACCAGAGATACCGCCTGGTCATTTCGGAAACGATAACGAGTTTTCTCGAGATGACTGTGGATACTAACAATCGGAACGTTTTGAAATATCATCATTTCGTCTTATTGTTATTGTTTGTTGGTTATTGACATTCCACTGGTCAACCAATTTTTGACTCATTTCTATTTTTGGTAACAATAATTGCTTCTCTCTATAAATGATATTGCTTATAAAATTCACATTTCATATTCATTGTTTGTTTCTTCATGTTTTTTGTTATTTTTTCCAAATAAGTCATTTCAATCCATGTATTTTTACTATTCCATTCCTCCTCAACTTCCTCTTAGATATACATTCTGACAAAATCTTGTAAATGTCTACTATTCAATAACGATGAGATTGGAACCTTTGGTGTGAAAGTTGAATAACTTTTTTCGAGATCAATTGTCGTAACACCAAACTGATATTTTTGCACTCGACGCGCGTTTCGCCAACAAAGTTAGCATCCTCATAGGAGAAGAAAATTGATACCTAGTCTAGTCTGGTCATAAGATCAAAAAGCGGGCTAAACGGGATGGGTCCCTTATCGCCATTCATGCTGTTCTTACATTTTTCCATTTCTAGACTCTCGAGTAGCATCGAGTAGCCTGGTGTCATGCACGTGATTAATCAGTTTCAAATTGTTTTCGCCAATTCTGTGGTCCTTTTTTAGAGCATGTTGGGTGACACTGGATTTTTCTATCCTTCCGTATTTCATATGTGCACAATGCTTCTTGAAACGGGTTTTAATCGCTCGTCGGCTGTATTTGCTGTTGCAATCTTGACAACTGATTTCGTAAATCCCTGACCTTTCCGTGTTTTCTAGTCTATCTTTTGGATTACCAAGAGGATATTGCAATTCATAAGGAGTTTCATATGCAACTTTCATATTTACTTTATCGAATATCTGTTGAAGCCCTCTCGTGTATTGGAGTTCATATGGGATTACTATAAACTTGTTATTACTCTCCTCTTTTTGAAAAGTCGAAGATTCACGAAGTGCTTTCCTGAACTTGGATGATTGAAGGAAATAAGCAGATACATTCATTGAATGATAAATTGAAAAAACTGAGTTCAAAAAAGCATAAGCGTATGGCTTCGAAAATCATCAACATTGTAGAAAACCACTCTTCTCAAACTTTTGATAAAGAGGAATCAGCCTTATTGAATAAAGGTTTGAAATGCGGCATCAGATCTCCCCAAAAGGATTTGTTCACGAAGCATGAGCAAAGAGCCACACATTACATCGAGAAAAGAACAGAAAATTATCAAAAGATTGAAAGAAAAGGACTGTTTTCATTTAAAAGCGGACAAAGGTAACAAAGTGGTGAATTTGGATAAAGAAGATTATTTTGAGAAGGTCGACAGCTTAAATGAAAATTGTCCATATCAGAAATTACCGCGAAATCCATTATCCAAAATGACCGCTAACGTAAAAGCCACATTGAAAAAATGCAAGACACTGATCACACCGATTTTAAACAGGAGGCTACAACTTTCAAATCCCACAGTACCAAAGATATATTGTTTACCAAAAATACACAAAGCTGGAAAATCGATGCGACCAATAGTCTCAGCAATAAATTCGCCTTCGTATAATATCGCTAAATGGTTGACGAATTTGAAAATCTCCCGATCGGCCCAACCGATGCGAGTGTTAAAAACTCACAAGAATTCATCGAGAAAATGAAAGATATTAAATTAGAAGAAGGCGAATTATTGGTATCGTTCGATGTGAGTTCCTTATTTCCAAGCGTCCCAATATCGCAAGCTCTAGAGTGTTTGAGGGATCTTCTGAAATCGAACAACTTAGCAAATGAAGCTGTTGGAGAAAATATTCAACTCACCAATATTGCATGGATCAAAATTGTTTTCAATATAATGGCTCATATTATTAACAGCGTGAAGGAACGGCTATGGGTATCCCATTGTCTCCATTTATAGGGAACATATTCATGTGTTGGTTTGAGAAGCTGGGAAAGAACTCAGTTACTTCCCTACGGTCTGGATCAGGTATGTTGATGACATATTCGCTGTAGTGGATACAAGGATAACCAGAATTGAGAATGTCCTTTCAGCACTGAACAACAGGTGTAAGAGTATAAAATTCACATATGAAGTAGAAAAAGAACGAAAGTTGCCGTTTTTAGATGTTTTGGTCATAAGGAACGAACAGAACGAAATAGAATTTGACATTTACAGGAAAGACACGGGCACTTCCAGATTCATTCCCAATGACTCGAATCATTGTCCACAGCACAAAATGGCGGCACTGCAATTTCTGGTACACAGGTTAATAACTTTTCCTCTGAAACAAGATAAGTCCGACAATAAGAAGAGAGTGATTCGGTATGTAGCTGAAGCAAACGGTTTTAACCCAGATATAGCTGACAAGATAATTAGAAAATGCAAGTTTAGGGAAGCACTTCGTAAATATTCGACTTTTCAAAAAGAGGAGAGTAATAACAAGTTTATAGTAATCCCATATGAACCCCGAAACACGGAGGGCTTCAACAACTATTCGATAAAGTGAATATAGAAGTTGCATATAAAACTTCTTATAAATTGCAACAGCTCCTTGTTAATCCAAAAGATAGATTAAGAAACACAGAAAGGTCAGGGATTTACGAAATCAGTTGTCAAGATTGCAACAGCAAATACATCGGCCAGAGCCGACGAGCGATTAAAAACCGCTTCAAGGAAGAGAATAATTACTAAGAACTTGCAGGTAGTTAATTACCGAGAAATTCCATATTGGTATACAATAGGTATAAAACCTCAGGTAACAAATTTCAGTATATAAGGATTAACCATACCAGACTAGGTATCAATTTTCTTCTCCTGAGGATGCTGACTTTGTTGGCGAAACGCGCGTCGAGTGCAAAAATATCAGTTTGGTGTTAGGACATTTGATCTCGAAAAAAATTATTCGACTACTATTCACTAATTCAATGGTACTCAAAGGTACTCGTATACATAAGCAATTCACATTGTTTCCTGTTGACTCATTTCATATGTTACCAATTTTTTCAAGAATTAAAAATAAGTTTATTTTCATTTTCAGGGGTCAAGAATTCTTCCACAAAAACATAACTGGAGTTTTTCTAGGATGTTACCTCGCCTTATTCGCTGGATTTTCACAACCTTTTGCAAAAATACTGCTAATGACCAATAAATCAAGTACTCCGATGACCGCATACAAAAGATATTCAGCCACCATTTTGCATATGTGTACTTGGTATGACTCGGATTTCGAACCTGGTTCAAAGTAAGATCATTTCGTTATATTTCATTCTAATTTCGTATTGAGATTGAATCACTTTACGTCTAGAGACCCCAATGTTCAGAATGTTGAAGCATTCCACACATTCATGGACCGTTATTTCCAAAGATTTTCAGAGATTTTCAAAGATCAGTTGAAAGTATGCTTCTGCCATTTTTTATATAGACTCACTTCGAGAGGCCTTTCAGGTGGAAACTTGGTTTTTCAGGCTACTAAACATTTTTGATAAAGTAAATGACTGTGTTACTATTCGAAGGCCGTAAATTTTTGAAATTTTTCCTGACATTTCACTGGCGCGACTGGCTAGCTTCCTCAGAGGTTTATACATCCTGAGTTAATATCTTCGATCACTAGATATTACGCCTACGTAACACAAATTTATATCGACTTCACAGGTAGTTTGATGAGCTAATACCTGTATCTGGCTAAGGTAAATTACGTATTCAGGTTGATGCAGGTAGTCTGGTGTGATACTACCTTACCTGGATTTGGTAAATTGTCAATAACGTTCGTTGATCCTATTCTACCTGCCGTCATGCTGCTTGCTATTCTTGAACTTCTTAGAATAGGATTTCATATTCTATTGGGATTCACAGCTTCTTCTTTTTGTTCAAATTATCCGTGTGTTTGTGGATTTCTATTGCCTCCCTTATCAGTCGGCTATGGAATCTCTTGTCGGGTGCAATCAGTTTAGTGTTGTCAAACAGATTCCTGTGGTTTCTTCCACTGAATGCGTGTTCCATGGATCTTTTGGTGGTTGCTGTCCACTTGACTAGTTTCGTTTTTTTTAATCAACAAAATATATTGAGAAATTGTTTCAAACAGCATAAATTCCTTGGAGTTCATTAGTGGTAGATTCGAATACCTTTCGTTGGAATACTTTCTACATGTCCTGCTGGAAATTTTATAACACTATTCAAAAATAATATATGTATTCATGAGAACTGCGTTTGAGTACTTTTATTCTATCTGATGTGACGAAAATGTGAATATTATCAGGAAAATATCACAACGGTACTGTAAAATAGTAATCATGGCCTGCTCATGAAATACCGAATGGGAATATCATTCTGAGGGGACATTTCACAAGTAAATGCTCATAAGTGCGGAACTTGACTTGTTAGGTATACGCATGATATAAATAGAAGGGGAGCAGCTTCAACTTCTTTCTAAATTTGTAATAATACACAAGCAAACGAAAAAACTGTATTTTTTCACCACCCTCATTGAAGTAACGGAGATTATGCTGAAATGTGAAGAGCCTCGAAGTATCACCTAATTTCTAATCGAATGTCTGTACCATGGTAATCCTTAATTCAAAATATCAGCTTTCTTAAATATTATGATTTCCGAAGGAAAAAATTGAAATCAATTAATATTTCGAAAACGTTAACAGATAGGTATAGGGGAATATACGGAAAAGTTGTCGTGGATTTCAAAAATAATATTTTGTTTCATTTGAAATATCGAAGATGCTACTACTTTCTAATGGAAGTGGAAACACCGCATTGCCGAAAATATTTCAGTTGATAGGAGAATGTCCGAATACGCTCTACATCAAATTTTAAAATCCGTTGTCTGGTTCACCAGAAACATCTAATGTGACATCCACCGTGAATCAGCCTCTTTAAGAATTGTAAACCACTACCAAAGAAGCTACAGTGTAAGCGAAACGCGTCTAGAATGAACATTTCATGTGTGAAAATTTTCTTGATCATTATCATCACAGGGGATTTTATCAATCAATGTTGAAATTTCTGAGTATTGATAATGTTCTATTTCATCATGACTTTCGATCCATCCAAATAAAAACATACTAACGTGAGAATAAAATATAAAATGGTTCAAGAACAGATACAAAAAACATGACAGTTGATCAAAATTTGACTGGCAATGTTAAGTGGGAAAGTTCTCAGAATTACTACATCTTTTATTTTCTTTGTCATATTTCAGTAGGTATGTATAAATTTCGATAAGACTTTGAAAAGCAGTTCTTTTATTCATTGAATGTTCTTCGTGATAATTATGTATCATTTACAAAAATATTCTTTTAGTTGTATAGATTTCTCTATCTAAAATATGTGTGTTTTCGAAATTAATTTTATGATCCGCCGAATTAACATGTTCTGTTAATGCACGAGAATTAACATTTTGTCTACAATCGCTCTCATGGGAAGTGATGCGACTACTTAGAGGTTTGGATGTTTGTCCTATATATGTTTGAGAACAATCCATTCAGGAAATTTTGTATACTCAATTGGATTTTTGTTTATTTGAAATAAAAAAATATTCGGCACACCTATGGGTTCCATCATTTCACCAATTTTATCGATTTTTGTTTTAGATGAGCTCATCAATAAGCTGTTTGTATTCAGAAATCATCTTTCCGTATTCCATTCATCAAACGTTTTGTAGATGATTTGATTCTGACTATACCTGCATATGAAAAAGAGGAAATTTCAAACATATTCATTTCATATGATCTTAATATCCAGTTTACTATTGAGGAGGAAACAAATAACTCTATTCTTTTCCTCGATATGAAGTTATTGATATCAGAACGGAATATTATCATCACTGAATGATACAGAAAACCAACATCAAGTAATAGATTTATTAATCTATTATCATTCAAATGAAATGAAAAGTAATTTGATGAAATCACTTAAAAACAGAATTATCAAAATTACCCATCCCGATTTACGAAACAAAAGTTTGTCTAATTTAAGTAAAATTCTGTTCCGAAATGCTTATCCTAAATCTTCAGTGAACAGAATTTTATTTTGTGAAAGAACAAACTCTCAAAATAATGAAGACGTTCATTCATATATAAATCGCTCCCATATATTTAAGGAATGACACCAAAATTAATTAATGTATTCCGAAATGAAAACACCAAAATATCCAAAACAAATGTCACTAGTATATTTAAATCATACAGCAAACTAAAAGCTTCAATTTCAAATAAACAAAAATCAAATTCAGTGTAGGAAATTTCTTATATAGATTGTTTCAAAACATATATAGGACAAACATCTAGACCTCTGAGTAGTCGTATCACTTCACTAAATATACCGAAAGCTTGACATATTTATAACAAGAGTTTTCTTTGTAACAGCCCAACTATTGACTGCAACCTCACAAATCGAACCGATTTTTAATCCAGTCACTAATTCCTCATGCAATATTTCTTTCAATAATTCTGTTATTTTGTTTGTGTATCGCCCCACATATGTGAAAAATTTCAATACTGAAAATATAGAAATAACATTTTTGATTTCTCTTTCAGATTATGGTCGTCGATTAATAAAGTAAGGACAGTGCACCGCTCAGTAAAAAAAAAGATTCTTTCAAAGGCAGATTTGCGTCTAACTCAATATGAAATGAGTGCAGTTATTTTTGCGTTCATGGGACTTCCAGTGATAAGTAGTGAAATGATCGGAATCCATAATCCAAGTGAACACGAAATCAATTGTTTCATTCATTTCTGGAGAGTAATAGGTTATCTCTTGGGAATCAAAAACAAGTACGTTTTTGGGAATGAAGGGTTTTATCCTTATTTCTATTTCTTCAACTTAATACCGAAAAATCTTCTACAGAAAGTTACTTTTTGCATGACCTTTCTTGCTTTGTTTTCTTTGGAAACTAATCACATTTTTTATGTGAAGATGGGTGAGTAAAACGCCAAAATCTTTCTTTCCCAAAAATTGATCTTTCCAAAAATTATACTTTTCTCAATTTGAACAAAAACATTTTCATTGTACCAGTCTTTGAGTATTATTTGTTAGTGTGTGTTCAAAGAATTGCACTTTCAATTCCTTGAGGAGGTGTTTGGATTCTGTTGCCTGAAACTAATATTATAAACCAATTTTGGAATCCTTACACCTCCGTAAAAGCTACAATATCAGCGAGTAACATAGGCTATATATCAGAAATCACTACAAAAATAGACAATTATGTGTTTACTTTTTCAATGTAAGCCTTTTAAAGTCAATATTTGGCATGCAAAACATTGCATTGGTGGTATGAAACAAGGAAAATGGATTTGAGACAAAAGTTTCTCAAGAAATTTGGATATTCACGAGAATAGGTATTCCAACAAATCATAATTTCTAGGGAAAACTAAGGAGGTAACAATAATCTACAAGAGTAATAGGTCAGATATTCGACCATACCAAAGATCCGAAGGTGTATACGAAGAAAAAGGCTGCACTAATGAGTTGCAGTGAGGAATGAAATCGGAAAGAATCATGTAAAACATCTTGACGTTCAAGAATATTTAAAATATGGTAAAAAATTTATTAGTGACATTCATTGTGAAAATGTTGTTGGTGATATATGGGAGTCAGATATCAGATTTTAATGTAATATTTCATTATTTATGTGATGAAACAGTTAAACTTTGACGACCAATGTGCAATATGTGACTAAATTAATGTCAGCGTAGCCTCTGATCCTTCAAATATCCCACCCGAGATCACAAAATCAGTTACCAAAAATGATTTAGAATATTTTTACAATGTGCTGGCCCGCACTGATATTTATTCAATACGGTGGAAACTGACGAAGCTGTTCTTATTGAAGAAAGAAGAGAGGCCTATAAAAACAATTTGTATTTAGGAAAGGGGGGCAAACTATTCATGCTATAGAGAAAGAGCTTCAGATTGTGATAAGAACAGACAAGAAATAATTTTGGAGACATCGAAGACTCCTGAACGCGGTCAGTACCTTAACTATCTTCATGAAACGTTTTCTATGATGGAGTTTGAGAATAGGAATGTCAGCAAGAGTAATAGGCTCCACCGTTGACATTGCAATGCTAGTAATAGCTGAATGTAGGGATGGGCTACTGCGAGTGGCCAACTGGTTGAACGACAAGTATTCTACATTTTTGAACAGAAAACATGAATTTGGTCTTGGTTAGGACTAAGAGGAAAACCAATACTATATAGTTTGACATTGAAAAAGTCATGGTGGAAAGTTGTAGATGAACATCTAGGTGTCTAGGTTGACTCGAAACCCAATTACAAAGAATATATTGGAAAAAAAAAGCTTTTCGATTTCTTACTCACCCATATTTATATAAGAAATTTGGGGAAACAAGCTCAAAGCCCCAAAAAGGTTTTTTCCCAAGAACTGATCCCTTCAACTTCATTTCGTAGCTGTTATTCCACAAAAATTGTAAAAACGCTTACGACACTATCTGGACAGAAGCTGAATGTCAAAGAACCCATGAGGTCTGAGAGAAGACTTTTTGTGAACGTTGATCAAGTCTATAACCTAAACGCAGCAGTAACGCGTAAATTAGTCTTGAAATTTGCTAGCATTCATCGCAAAACGTGTGAAAGAATTTGCCCTGGGATTACGGCATCCTAAGAAGTAGGGTTGGATTAGATTAGGTGAGGTCTATAATGAGTGAATCTATTCGATCCTCCATCGCAACAAGCAAGCGTTTATTGTGGCTCACATCTATTTACACTGGATCAAATAAACCCAACTTTTCAACGAAGATGATCAGTTTGTAAAGTGAGTGGTCTTTCAGGTCAGATGGTAAGAGTACGGCTCTGCCGAACTCTAAAAACCTGAGTTAGTCCCTAGCTGTTCAGTCCTGGATCAATCATTCCGTACGTCCAGTTGAAGAACATTTGTTTCTGATTGCTATCATTTTCTTCATCGTAGTTTATTCTCATAATTTTCCACTCACGAGCTGATGAGAACATTGGTGTCAGCATATTTTCAGGTTTTTCGATGGCTTATGTTTGTTGTTCTTCATTGGGTCTGCAGCATTGGAGTACTTTGTTTCTGTCTTGTTGATTGAAGTATCGATATTTGTTAGAACCTTCCTCACTTAGTGGGTAATTCCCAAAGCATTTGAAATATTTATGATACATAACATTGATATATTGTGAAATGGCGAAGGTTTCTGAGGTGTTATATGCACAGGCTAACGAGTTCAGTTTTGTAATTTCGTTGATCCCAATTTCCTGAATAGCTGTCCAAATTCAGGATACATACCTTCAGTATCATTTCATCAGTTCGGACTTCAACTGTCTAACATCAAGTGGGCTCAAGCTGAAATCATCCACAAGAGGGAACACTGGCTTAGGAGAAAATTCAAAGAAGCCGCATATATGTTGTCCAACAACGCATTAATCAAGCTGGCGTAGAGATAGGCAACATATGGAAACCTCTCATCGAAAGGAACACGACAAACTCTCGATAAGCGGTCAGCTCCCGCTAAAATATCCAATGAAGCGGAGAGACGGAAGAGGGGATAGGTGAAAGCAGTCGAATGATCTATAAATAGTCAGATCTCGAAGAAATAAGTCCAGTCCTCCGTTAACAGATGAATAATTTATCCATCTCACCCCAGCCAGGTAGGGGTACACCGCCAAGGGTGGTACTGATGTCTGAGGACATTCATGCCATCATCACTAATCAGCTATGACCCATTTGTCTCTCTGATGAAAACCACTCTGAAGGAAAGGGGAGCAAGGCTCCAGCCTGAAAGAAATCAAGATGACGAGCAGGAATAAGTCTAGTTATCATCCGAAGACGATTGTGGATACTAACAATAATTGTAAAGTAACAAACTAACGTCGTGAAGTAACTTGGATTAGAATCTTTTAATTTTATATTTTCAATTTTCAGTTCTTGTTGATATTTTTTTAATTCTTCAGCTCGTGTTGATAGTTCGATTTTTTGGGTTCATTTTTTTTGGTTGTTGCTTGTATGTTATTTCATTGTAATTTCAGTTTTTTGCTCAATAAAATTGTTTTTTCAGCTAATTTTGCTATTTTTGTACTGATTCTTTCAGGGATTTCAAATCATTTTATATCATACTAGCAATCCGCCCCGGCTCCGCACTGGTGCAATGCTGTGAATAATACAGTGCGACGGTATTACGGTACTAAGGGTTGGAACTTCATTACTGGAATGCTAGATGACATAAAAGTAGCTAGATTTTGAGATTTTTTTGACAAACAATTTTTTTATCTCACATAAAAAAAATAGTAAAAAGTATCCAATGTTACTTCCCAAGAACATGTGTAGAAAATTTCATGATGATCGTTTTGTGTACTTTTCGCATGAAACCGTAAAAAACTCACATTCGCATTTATAATATTAGTAGGGATAAAATAATAATAGGGATTAGACAATGAAGGTCCGAACTGATGAAATGCACCACGAAACATTGTCAGCCACCTTCAGCAAATAGTATCATTTACTGGACTACCGATAAAATTTTTCGCACATTGTTTATTCACACATTGTGAGTCTGAAAATTGAGGATGTAATCTTCGCAGCACTTTTCTTAATTGAAAGATCACAGGTCAGTTTTTGGTCCAATACTAGGTCTGGATATATATATATATATATATATATATATATATATATATATATATATATATATATATATATATATATA